TGTAGATGAATGATGATTGTGCTTACCCTGTAGAGTGTCCTCCAAGCTTCCTCTGGATGAGAGATTGTAAACGGAGATTAGGTCATTGTTCCGGACACAGACACCGATCAAAGGAGAGATGTTTTGGTGACTCAATGAAGAGATTATGCTCACTTCATGAACAAAATCCTTCACTGCTTCTTTTACAGATGATTTCAAGATCTTCACTGCCACAGCTTTGCCGTCTTCAAGAAACCCTTTGTAAACTTCGTTACATCCTCCTTTTCCGATCAGATTCTCTATATTCGGAAAAAACCAAGAATCCAATGAAAAGAATGTAGCTGAGAACACACACACACACACGCACACAGAAAAAAACAGAGTAGTTAGTTAGTACCTGAAGAGAAATCTGAAGTTGCTGCCTTAAGAACATCGTAGCTAAACCATCTGTCTATTTCCTTTAGTATGTCTTTAAGTTGTTTATCGCAAAAGCTCAGATTCGGATGATGTGGAAACCGTTCAGGCAAGTTCATGACCCAATTGACAACTGATATTTTCCGAGTCTGATGTTGAACTACTGGAGTAACCAAAGTGGTTGATCTTAGCAATGGCCAACCTGGTTTCTGATCTATAACCTCTACTGATGGAAGAGAGAGAGATCTTCCTGAAACCTTCCTCTTCTCTTGGCATGTTGATTCTTTGGATGTCAATTCGCTATCTTTGTCTGAAAATCCATCAGAAAGTTCAGAACTTGGTGTTGAAATCATTTTTTGAGCTGCAAGAAGTATCAAAACCAATTTCTTGTCAACAGATTCGAGTTTTGAAGAATGTTTTATAAAGACTTTATATATAGATTCAACGAACCAAGTGGTAGTTGGTAATGGTTGGAACGTCTAAAGACTATATTTCCTCTGTGGATGGCCACAACATCAGTTGTTGGAGGAAGCTCTTTTGCGCAGCCTTCAGCTATTTTTAGACTAATAAAAAAAAATTAATTATCTAAAATCAGCAAAGAGAATATCCAGAATGGGGTTAGTTTGCTAGATAGCCAAAAAAGTTAGCAAGATTATTTCCAAAATAATATCATTGACAAAATTGTGGCTACCTTAAAGCAATCCTGAAATCATTCTTATTTCTTTACATTTTACCAACAAATTTTGGCTACCTTAGCAAATTAACTCTATTGTTTAGATTTCGAATGTTTAGTAGATATGCTCACCTTAATTTTCTTTGATGTTTAACTCCAAGAATAATGGAATTAGCATTGTATCTCTTTGCTTCTTTAACTAAAGTTTCTTGAGCTGAATTTCCCTTCAAAACTTCTCCTTTGAGCTCAATCTGTTATGAAAAATCGATTTTTCTCTGTTACCCATTGCTCAAAATCGTGTCTTTATGTGGATGTGAAGCAGAAGAAAAAGATCTATAGATACCTTCTTTGTTGAGCAGAATTCACTGTAAAAGTCTAGGTACCGATCCAACGATGACTTGCTCTTCAAGGCACGATCTGTACCAGATCACTCAGAATTAGATTTTGTAAATCACAAACTAAACAAAAAATAAACTTAATTAGCAAGGAGGAGAAGAAGAAGAATAACTTACGAGAAGTAGAGCAAACATGAACAACAACAACACAATCTCCATGTGCTGCAACTTCTTCAAGTGCCCATTTCAAGATCTTTTTGCCACTATCATCGATTTTAATCCCAACCAATACAATATTCCTCTTCTTCACATTCACATTATCCACTTTTCTGTTTTTCTCCACCGCCATTTTTTGTTCTCTCTCGCGGTTCTTTTCTTTTACTAATACAAAATGCAATTGCAGATGAATCAATGGCTTAGTCGATACTGAATAAATTAAGAAAAAATATTATACTTTATATTTGTTCTTTAAATAATCATTTCTGTAGGGAAGTTGAAAGCTAGAAAAGTCAGAAACTTGATGTTGCAACTACTATTAGATACAAACAAACAGAAACTCCAGAGTAGAGAAAGAGAGAGACACTTGAAAATTCAAAGAGCATTTAAAGGTAATAAAAATAAGCAAGTTGGATTTTAAGAAGATACACGATGAGCATTAGGAGACAACATAGTATCACCTAAATACTCTGTATTTAATATTAAATTTTGTCTTCAATACAGAAATAAATTGATAGTTTTGCTGCCATGTGCCATCAGCATTTTTACCTGCTTCTGCCACGACTCATAAAACCAGATAGACTGACCCAAAATAAAATCATAAAATAAGAAGAAGAAGAAGAAAACTTACATTAAAGGTCTTGATTTTTCTTTTCTTTCTTTTTTTGTGATAATTGAGGGACCTGATATTTTCTTAAAGGTAAATGCTGATCTTCTTCTCTTATACTCTTCTAAGGAAAATAAAGAAGATTGGGCTTCTTTTCTTGTTTTTTTTTGTATTGAATGAAAATTAAACTGATATGATCATTGATCAGAGAAGAAGGAAGAAGTGAAGAAAGAAAGTGTCGGTGAGACTTTAAGAGAAGGCAAAGAAAGGGTCTAGTGAGCAAAAGAAGACAAGGGGACCAATTTTGATGTTTTTGTTTTCCGATTTACTTCCGTTTTTTAATTTTTAGTTTTTTTATAAAAATTGAAATGGAAAAAAAAAGTGAAAATAAAGGTGAATAAATGAGGCTTTTGTGTGTGTTGTTGTTGGTTTTATATACGAGTAAATGAGTTGGTTAGGAGAAACCGGCAAATTTAGCGGGAATGGGCATGAAATGAGGTGAGTTTTTGTTTTTAAAAGGGCCAAGTCACAAGTGAATGTGTGGCCACCGGCTATTACGGGTTACGAGCGTAACCAAGACGGCGAAAAAGCCTTGAAACCTGCCTCATTACTCATGGCACGGAAACGGCTAGATATATAGAAATTTTTTTGGTTCTTCTCCTTTTTTTCGATGGAGATGTATGTTTAACACTTTATAGAGATAAGTACATAGTTAGATTACAAATTTATAGTAATTATAAAGGTGGTCTAATTGTAAGCATAATCTAAAGTACATCACTATGCTAGGAAAATGGTAGAAAAGGAAGAAAGTGATTTTCCCGCGGATAGACGAAATATATATGTACATGCAGTTTTGCAAAATCTGTGTGATTATTATCATGTGACACATAAAATATCTTTATAACAGTTTACTTTGAAGTACATCACTGTATGTGGTACAAGAAGTGTATTATTGTGTAACCTATAAATAGTCATTGAAGATTATACTGAACACACTGTCTTCTAGCCTTTTAGGTATATGGCATTAATTGTGTACTCTCCAATATGCAACATATTCGTCCAAGATGAAATTGGCCTAAATATTGCAGAGGATGCAGTTTTGTAACAATATTTCGTCCAAGATGAAATTTTAGCTAGTAGGACCAATCACGTAGTTGTATCAACATGAAAATTATAGAAAATGTTTTTGAACAAAAAAAAAGTCATTATCTATATAAACTTTATTTTTGTGGTCGGAACCATTTCGACCGAACATATGTTATAGACCACAGCCATAGACTACAAGAGCAAATAATTGAGCATGTAAAAAGCAAACAAACACAACCAAAACATATCACAAATATCTCAACGCATAGATCCTCTGACAAATGATTTCCGTTAAAATTAATCATATGTACCTATCGAATAATAAGTTGGTTTTGGATATGATCGTAGTAGTTATTACAAAGAATGAGATTGATCAACCACCAAGAAACAAAGCCTTAACACCATCTTGGATTCCAATAAATTAATAGAAAAGACAAATCTAGGCAATAATCAAAATCAGATATATTATGAAAATAGCCATCAAGGCAAACATTATAATACAAAGCACGTTTCTCAATTTAAACAAGGAAAAACAGAGATATCACCAATAATATTCCAATTTGGTTTATTATTATTACAAAAATAAAACCGAACCAAAAGAAGAAGAAACAGAGTCTTGTAGTCATTTTGCAAAGAATAAAGTTTGGAGTTGTGACTCTTGTGAGGCTCAGAACAAGGCATATTTCTGAGTCCAGCTTCGAGCCATGGCTTCATATTTGACCTTGTCAGTTTTGTATATGTGAGCTATCTCTGGAACCAGAGGATCATCAGGGTTTGGGTCTGTAAGAAGAGAGCACACAGAGAGAAGCACCTGCAAATACCCAAAATGTTTAGTTATTTGTGCTATGTAACCGAGCCAAAAGCCTTGAACTTCTCTACATATACCAAAATTGATTCAGTCATTAAAAATCTTGAAAAAAGGCTTTAAAGTGATTTTCAAACCTTAGAGATGGTAAGGGCAGGGCTCCATTGGTCTTTGAGAATGTCCAAACAGATGTTTCCATTGCTGTTGATGTTTGGATGGAACACTTTGGTTCTGAATACAACCTGAAAACATCAACCAACATAACAACAAGAGGGAAAAAGAAAGAAAGATCAAAACTTCAGAAACATACCAATCATGTTGGTTTTGAGCCTTTAAAAATGTTTTGTGTTGTGGTAACTTGTTTACCTTGGGAGGTTTAAAAGGATAATCAGGAGGGAAATGGATATTGACAAGGAAAACACCGCCTGAGTATGGACTTTCATTTGGACCCATTATTGTAGCTTGCCAGTGGAACGTATCTTCTCCTGTTGGACCTGAATAACCCAAAAACATTCAGTGACAAAAGATCAAACCTTTAGAAGAAACAGTAGTGATGATCTTACTTTGATGCAGGAGCTTATTGTGCATGTGTGCATCAGATATCCCAATGAAAGTTTCTATTTATTAACAAGAAGATGTGATCTTTTACCTGCACTGCATGATACAGGAGGGTCTCTCTGCAACTCCTTTAGTTCTTTCAGTATCCGTCTCGTTGCCATCGAGCTGCAGAGTGTTTGATTAGCACTAGAGAGAAGCTGAGGGAAAACAGAGAAAGAAAAAAATTTCAATGGATGGTTTGTGAAGAGAATGGGAATGAGAGGTCTGTTTTTAAAGCAGAGATTGATGATTCTCTTTTCAAACAGGAGTGATAAGCACTCAGATTGTTCATTTACAGTTGTTTAAGCAACATAGGTGTCATTTTAGCCGCCCATTATGGAGAAAGATCCATTTTTTTGGTTCTGATTCTGAAAGAGAGACTTAGCTTGAAGCAGATGGTCTTACATGCTTGTTTGCAATATATACCATATCTATTGAACGGTCTCTAATGAAACTTGATAAAGTTCTTGTTCTCTAGAAGAATTTTAGAATCAGAATTTTCTAACATAAAGAATGGTTATTACAATATTCTTTGTTCCTGTCTTCTTGCCTACGTTCATTGGACCAGCAAAATGACTTACCAACTTGAAGATTACAAGAGAACGCTTCTTGCAAATCCCAAGAAATAATCTCTAAAAGAATCAGAAGCAAACGTGGATTCATATATATACATATTTGGATTGCAAATAAGAATACAACCTAGAAGTTTCAATACTTGACCAATGAGTTATTTCTGATATGTCAGTTTTTGGACTAGAAACAAGAGAGATTCAAAATGAGAAAAAATGAGTCTGCGAGCACTCGGCAACAAGGATTAGTTTTAACTGTTGGTTTTCGTGTTTCTTCTCTAGAATCACAATATGGAACATCCTTTCTGAGATTTCCTCTTCTTCTTCTTCTTGTTCTTGGGTGGCTGCAGAACTACTTTGATAGCCGCATCAAACACAGCTTTCACATTCTGCCACAAACGATCGAACAAGGTCTTGTCAGCAAGATTTTGTTCTCAGTTTAAAAAACTATACGAAGATAATGAAGTTGAGGTACCTGTTGTGTCTTTGCACTGCATTCTATATAAGCAGAAGCCCCAACAGCCTTCTTTAGCTCTTCACCCTTCACACATATAACAAAACCAGACAAGGAATAAGCAGACGAAACTTGAAGAATCTTAAGAAAAAACGGTCAGTGAGATTGAGCAGAGGGAAGTTACCTGAGCAGTAGATATAGGCACAGCTCCAGGGTGTTCAAGAAAGTAGTGCTTATCATCTCGAAGATCTGAAAGAGAGAATCCGTTAAACAGAACTCGCTCGTCTTTTGGGATGATGATGGATGAAATGAAAGAAGAACTAACCTAGCTTTGTTCCAACAAGGATGATCGGAACACCAGGAGCGTAATGTCTCAGCTCAGGAACCCACTGCGATAATCAAAAGCAGAAGAACAAATGGATTGTATCAGAATCACTTAGATAATACCATTTGAGATACTCCAAAAAGTTTTACATGAGGAAGACCAAAGATTGATAGCTAACCTTTTTAGAAACATTTTCGTAGCTAGCTTTGCTGACGAGAGAGAATGCAAGCAAGAACACATCAGCGCCACGATAACTCAATGGTCTAAGTCTATTATAGTCCTCTTGTCCTGTGTTTCATCAAGGCAAACATAAACAAAGAAAGTTTAAAAACAAAGAGAGCACAAGAACAAAAGAAGCAACAAAATGAGATCAAAGCTATATGTTGCTTGCCTGCAGTGTCCCACAATCCTAAGTTGATGGTGTTGCTATCAACAATCACATTGGCACTGAAATTATCAAACACAGTTGGTACATAGTCCTGTCACCAAAACATTCCACACAAAAAAAAAAAAAAATGTTATCAATCATAAAGAGATTCAAACATCCTCAATCTTACAGATTAATAAAGTAAAATCACTAAGCTAAAGATCTTTAACCTAACCAACATCCAAAATAAACAAGAATTGGCTATGTTACGAAGCTCGCAATCTCAAACCTTTAGATCAATAAAGTAACATCACTGAGCCAAAAAGATCACTGAAGTAACATTCTCTTAAGCTTCTAAATCCAGCCAGTGAACTAGATGAGTAATAAAGAAGAAACCTTTTTGAGCTAACTTTCCTAGAAAAATCTCAATTTTTATTTTGAATTGGCAAAAATTAGGTCTTTAAGTTGATAAATCATGAGCTTTTAGACAAGAAACTTCCAGGGAAAATATACAAAAGCAAAGAAAAAAGGAACAAATTTTAATTCCGAAAATGGAGAAGAAAGCAATGAGTGAACTCTCACAGTGGGGAAAGTGTTGCTAGTGTAGGAGATGAGAAGACAAGTCTTTCCGACGGCGCCGTCACCGACGGTGACACACTTTATGAACCTCGAAGCACTCATCTTCTCGCCGTCAACTTCAAACCCTAATTCTGATTTGAGCAGAGGATTTGATACAGAGAGAGAGAGAGAGAGAGAGAGAGAGAGAGAGAGGTTCTTTAGGCAGCTAGGAGACAAAAGAATAGCAGCTGAAACTGAAAGTCCTCTGGCAAGACTTTTCCCACTTGTTTCGAGTCTCAAGTCTACTGTCTACCACATGCTTCGCACTCCACTTCCATTTCTTTGTCAAACTAGTTATAGGAAAAAGATGGATTATTAATTTTTAACAATAAACTCAATTTTTCTAGTATATAGTTAGAATAAAATATTGAATCATATTTTACAATTTCACTTAATATTTAGTTTGATTTCTATACTGTACTTGTGAAAACAGCCAGAACCAGTAATTTTCTTAAATAGAGTTATCTAAAAACTTCATTTCAAAAATCTATGTTATTTTTTTCCCTTTATACAAAAAACATTAATAGTTAGGAAGATGATTTACACATAATGCATCCTTCAGACATGTCATATGCTATCATCAATAGTTTTTGCCTGAAGTTCTACAAAATCATCAATTGATTGCTTCTAAAAAACCAGCCACATTTTTCTGGTTTTTTGTTCACTAAATGACGTTATAGACAAAAGAAAAAAAAAAAAAAAAAAAAAAAAAAAAAAAAAAAAAAAAAAAAAAAAAAAAAAAAAACAAAAAAAAAAAAAAAAAAAAAAAAAAAAAAAAAAAAAAAAAAAAAAAAAAAAAAAAAAAAAAAAAAAAAAAAAAAAAAAAAAAAAAAAAAAAAAAAAAAAAAAAAAAAAAAAAAAAAAAAAAAGACGTTATAGACAAAAGCAAGATGGGCCAGAATGGAACAAGGCCCACAGAATCAATGCCCGCCAATTGAATCCAACAAGTCACACACTGTCAGGTCCAACACCAAAACACAAAGCAAAATGCTACTGGTAATTTTTTGTAAACCAGAATTATGTAAAACAATGTTTTTCTTTTTCTTCTAATAAGAAAAATCAACAAAAGCAATAAAAACCGACTCAGTAATTTAAACGTTGACCAAAAAAAAAATCAAGAAAAAGTACACACGTAAACGTTAATTTTGTATTATGTTAAGTTGTCAAAGATTAAAATTAGCATAATGTAATCTCTCACAGAAGGATCTGGAAGCCCTATGCGTACCCAACTATCCCGTATAAATACAAACTTCTCTCCTTCCATCAAAATCTTTCTCTATCTCCCTCCCTTCTCTAAATCTGCTTCATAAACCCTAGAATAGAATTCCGATCAACGAGATGGCGGACGCTGAGACTTTTGCTTTCCAAGCGGAGATCAACCAGTTGCTCTCCCTCATCATCAATACCTTCTACAGCAACAAGGAGATCTTCCTTCGTGAGCTCATCAGTAACTCCTCCGATGTACGTCTCTCGCTCTCTCTCTCTAGGTCTCTATCTCATTCGTATTGTACCTTCTCGTAGGTTACTGTTTTCTCCGATTTGAGAATCTGGGTTTGCTCATTGTAGTAGGGAAATTCAAATCTATGTTAGGTTAGTGTTTTTAGTGTTCATGATGAGATAGATTTGAGCTCTAGACTCTACGCATTTATTGTATATGTTCTGTGTATCTGTTGCTTACGATTGAGTGTTGTATTGCGTTGATGCAGGCGTTGGACAAGATTAGGTTCGAGTCATTGACCGATAAGAGCAAGCTCGATGGCCAGCCAGAGCTTTCATTCACATCATCCCTGACAAGGCTAACAACACCTTGACCATCATTGATAGTGGTATCGGGATGACCAAAGCTGGTACGTATTGATTTCAATCTTAAACTTAAAGCAATCTGTATTCTTGTGTTTTTTTGGCTAATGCGTGTTTTTCTTGTACAGATTTGGTGAACAACCTTGGAACAATTGCAAGGTCTGGTACCAAGGAATTCATGGAGGCGTTGGCTGCTGGAGCTGATGTTAGCATGATTGGGCAGTTTGGTGTTGGTTTCTACTCGGCTTACCTTGTTGCTGATAAGGTCATTGTCACCACCAAGCACAACGATGACGAGCAGTACGTTGGGAGTCTCAGGCTGGTGGATCTTTCACCGTGACCAGAGACACTTCCGGTGAGAGTCTTGGCAGGGGAACGAAGATGACCTTTACCTCAAGGAAGACCAGTTGGAGTACCTTGAGGAGAGGAGGCTTAAGGATTTGGTCAAGAAGCACTCTGAGTTCATCAGCTACCCGATCTCTCTCTGGATTGAGAAGACCATTGAGAAGGAGATTTCTGACGATGAAGACGAGGAAGAGAAGAAGGATGAGGAAGGCAAGGTCGAGGAGGTAGATGAGGAGAAGGAGAAGGAGAAGAAGAAGAAGAAGAAGATCAAGGAGGTTTCTCACGAGTGGGATTTGGTGAACAAGCAGAAGCCTATCTGGATGAGGAAAGCCAGAGGAGATCAACAAGGAGGAATACGCCGCTTCTACAAGAGTCTCAGCAATGACTGGGAAGAGCATTTGGCTGTGAAGCACTTCTCCGTTGAGGGACAGCTCGAGTTCAAGGCTATCCTCTTTCGTTCCCAAGAGAGCTCCTTTCGATCTCTTTGACACCAAGAAGAAGCCAAACAACATTAAGCTCTACGTCCGTCGTGTCTTCATCATGGACAACTGTGAGGACATCATCCCAGAGTACCTTGGATTCGTCAAGGGTATTGTCGACTCTGAAGATCTTCCTCTCAACATCTCAGAGAGACTTTGCAGCAGAACAAGATCCTCAAGGTCATCCGCAAGAACCTTGTGAAGAAGTGCCTTGAGCTCTTCTTTGAGATTGCTGAGAACAAGGAGGACTACAACAAGTTCTACGAGGCATTCTCCAAGAATCTGAAGCTCGGCATCCACGAGGACTCTCAGAACAGAACCAAGATCGCTGAGTTGCTCCGTTACCACTCAACCAAGAGCGGTGATGAATTGACCAGCCTCAAGGACTACGTGACGAGGATGAAGGAAGGTCAGGAGGACATCTTCTACATCACCGGTGAGAGCAAGAAGGCTGTGGAGAACTCTCCATTCCTCGAGAAGCTCAAGAAGAAGGGGTACGAAGTCCTTTACATGGTTGATGCCATTGACGAGTACGCCATTGGTCAGCTCAAGGAGTTTGAGGGAAAGAAGCTCGTCTCTGCAACAAGGAAGGTCTGAAACTCGAAGAGACTGAAGACGAGAAGAAGAAGAAGGAAGAGCTAAAGGAGAAGTTCGAAGGGCTCTGCAAAGTGATCAAGGACGTTGTTGGGAGACAAGGTCGAGAAGGTTATCGTCTCTGACCGTGTGTGGACTCACCGTGCTGTCTTGTCACCGGCGAGTACGGCTGGACCGCGAACATGGAGAGGATCATGAAAGCTCAGGCTTTGAGAGACAGCAGCATGGGTGGCTACATGTCGAGCAAGAAGACGATGGAGATCAACCCAGAGAACTCGATCATGGACGAGCTGAGGAAGAGAGCTGAAGCGGACAAGAACGACAAGTCCGTGAAGGATCTGGTTCTTCTTCTCTTTGAGACTGCTCTTCTCACTTCTGGTTTCAGCCTCGACGAGCCCAACACTTTCGGGAGCAGAATCCACAGGATGTTGAAGCTTGGACTTGAGCATTGATGAGGATGATGAAGCCGTTGAAGGTGATGCAGAGATGCCTCCGCTTGAAGATGATGCTGATGCCGAAGGTTCCAAGATGGAGGAAGTCGATTAAAATTGCACAGATTGCAGTTGATGGTGTGTCCTTTGACTTTCCGGCTTTTCTTTTTTTTCTTTCGTTGAAACTATTTCGGGATCGTTTTTTTAATTTTAGAGTAATTCTATCGGTGTAGCTTTTTTTCTCCAAACTCGGTGATTTTTGCCCAAGTAAGAAACATTGTTTCTATCGCATCTAGTTGTGTTTAAACTGTTTGGACACGTTGATTCGTACCCGATTACACCTTTCTTGAGTTCGTCTTACAGACTTGACAGATGTCAAGAGACAAACATGTCACAGTCATGATCTAACCAAAAGTCAAAAAACAAAAAAATCATTTGGTCTATACAGAAAATAATTACATATTTTACTGTTTATAATGGGCATAGTCATTGGCTCATATTTCTGTTAGATGCTGAGAGCCTTTTGATTGAGAGAAGTCGTTGTGTGTATACCCACCAAAGTAGGCACTTAAAATTAGAAAATTGACACGAACAAAGAAAACAAAAAGAAAGGAGAATTCAAAGTGTTATTTACAACAAACGGTGGATTATCAAAGTGAGAAGCGTGAATTTCTCTCAAACCTTATGTTCTCTCCGAAACATTCTCTTCTCTCATTGTCTTTTATCAGATTCTATTTTTCGAGCTATCCTTGTTTTTATTCCTCCGACAAAGAAGAGATAGACCCCTTTGGGTAGGTTCTTGTTTTAATTTTTTAAAAAGAAAAATCCATAAAGAAAGAATAACATTAGTCAAATGAGAATACATTCTTCTAAGCATCCATGGCTTTTACTAGCCATTCTCGTTGTTCTTCTCTCCTTCCCTGGAGCTCTCTCCGAGAAGGAGAAGAAGGCCACGAAGAACACGAAGAAAGAAGACGATGAGAAGTCGACCACGAAGAACGCGAAGAAAGAAGTAACGTATGATGGAACGTCTTTGATCATCAATGGAAAAAGAGAATTACTTTACTCTGGCTCAATACATTACCCTCGTAGCACTCCTGATGTAATTCACTCATAACAACAAAACAATTGTTTTTAACCTATTAATTTTGTTAATATTATTTACTTACTTATGTGATGTGGGTTTTGTTTAGATGTGGCCAAACATCATCAAGAGAGCCAAACAAGGTGGTTTGAACACGATTCAGACATATGTTTTTTGGAATGTTCATGAGGTCGAGCAGGGGAAGGTAATCTTAGAGATTATATTAGACACACCAAAAAAAAGAACTGAATAAGAAAAGTTTCAAAAGTTATTCTAAGGATTTTTTTTTTTGTTTTCCTTTGTAGTTCAATTTTTCAGGAAGAGCCGATTTGGTGAAGTTTATAAAATTGATTGAGAAGAATGGTATGTACGTAACGTTAAGGCTTGGACCTTTTATTCAAGCTGAATGGACTCATGGGTATGTTTATATGTTATGTTCATTTTCTTCTCGACAAATTCACAATGGCTTTTAGTGTTTTGAGTTCTTATGTGAGTATGTGACACATGTTTCATGCTTATGGTGATGATGAAAAATCAGAGGACTTCCTTATTGGCTAAGAGAAGTTCCCGGGATCTTCTTCCGTACTGACAATGAACCATTCAAGGTATATGTTTATTTATCCACGTGCATGTAAGAGTATTGATGATATGTATACATGTGTGTGATGGTGGACTAACTAAATGAAATGGTTGCAGGAACATACAGAGAGGTATGTCCGAACGGTACTTGACTTGATGAAGAAGGAGAAGCTTTTCTATTCACAAGGAGGCCCCATAATACTAGGACAGGTAACACTGACCAAATAATCATATTTTTTTTGTTACATATGAATTTGAGATTAGGTTTAGTTTTGAACGATTTTTTGTAAACTGAAAATCGGATGCAGATAGAGAATGAGTATAGTGCGGTGCAACGTGCATATAAAGAAGATGGACTAAACTACATTAAGTGGGCATCTAAGTTGGTACATTCGATGAATTTGGGGATCCCATGGGTTATGTGTAAGCAAAATGATGCTCCTGATCCTATGGTATGTCATCTTTCTAACACATTGATTGATGATTATAACAATATATTATTAATCATCAAATGTTTTAATCAAGAACTTTCATGTTTTAACAGATCAATGCTTGTAACGGAAGACATTGTGGTGATACATTCCCTGGTCCCAACAAAGAAAATAAGCCATCTATGTGGACAGAGAATTGGACTACTCAGTGAGTTCTTGCACTAAATTAGTAGTATCTTCTAGAAACAAAAGACTATTAGAGGTTACATTTTTAAGAGGTTCTTGTAATTTTTTTTTGACCAAAAGGCTAAGAGGTTCTTGTAATTTGACTGTAGGTTCCGAGTTTATGGCGATCCTCCAGCGCAAAGATCAGCGGAAGACATCGCCTTTTCTGTTGCCCGCTTCTTTTCCAAGAATGGTAGCCATGTTAACTACTACATGGTAAAAGATGGAAGAACCCGAATAAAAATAGATTTATATGTGTTTTGAAGATTTGTGTAAAACTGTTTGTTTTCTTGTAGTATCATGGAGGTACTAACTTTGGAAGAACCTCTGCACATTATGTGACCACTCGTTACTACGATGATGCACCTCTTGATGAATTTGGTAAACAACTACAAAAAAAAATATAAAGCATATGATCTTTGTGAATTTGTACTTATATATGTTCCTCATTTTCTTCTTGTTATATATAGGATTGGAAAAGGAGCCTAAGTACGGTCATCTAAAGCATCTTCACAATGCACTTAACTTGTGCAAGAAGGCACTTCTTTGGGGCCAGTCCAAAACTGAGAAACCAGGCAAAGACACTGAGGTATTTGCATCTATATATATATGCACCAATATTCAACAGCTTGATTCTTTTTTACAAAACACATAGAAATATTCACTTCCTTTATTGATGTATCGTTGTAATTGCAGATTCGTTACTACGAGCAGCCTGGAACGAAAGTTTGCGCGGCGTTTCTTGCTAACAATAACACAGAAGCTGCTGAGAAAATTAAATTCAAAGGAAATGAATATGTCATTCCACCTCGATCCATCAGTATTCTTCCTGACTGCAAAACCGTTGTTTATAACACCGGGGAGGTAAAATCTTGTTTGCAAATCAAGTTTGTTCTTCAAAGAAAGAAAATGAATCTTGAACCATACGTTTGTTTATGTTGTTGTTGTTGCTACATTGTTCAGATTGTCTCTCAGCACACTTCAAGAAACTTCATGAAGTCGAAAAAGGCGAATAAGAAGTTTGATTTCAAAGTGTTCACCGAGAACGTTCCCAATAAGCTTAAAGGTGATTCATATATCCCCGCTGAGCTTTACGGTTTGACCAAAGACGAATCTGATTACGGATGGTACACAACAAGGTAAGCGTTAACGTTGACTTATGATCTTATCGTATGAAATGAAAAAAATGAAGAAAAACACATCACATAGAATGAAACATACTAAATTCTTTCGATGTTTAATTTTGTTATGCAGCTTCAAGGTCGATGATAACGACCTTAAGAAGAAAGGAGGTAAGCCTACTTTGAGGATTGCTAGTCTTGGCCACGCGTTGCATGTCTGGCTCAATGGAGAATACCTTGGTAAGTTTGAGAACAATCGAAACATTTTGAATTTCCGATACAAGAACTTAATTAACCTATTTTTTCAGGAAATGGACATGGTAGCCATGAAGAGAAGAGTTTTATTTTCCAGAAGCCAGTTGCTCTGAAAGAAGGAGAGAACCAACTCACTATGCTAGGCGTTTTAACAGGATTTCCAGTAAGAATGGTTTTACAAAAACTTAATCAATACTAACAAAAACTGTCAAGGTTTAATGATGAGATCTATGAATGTTTTGTATCAACAGGATAGTGGATCTTATATGGAGCATAGATACACAGGTCCACGTAGTGTTGCCATCTTAGGGTTGAGCTCTGGACCACTTGATCTCACAGAGAAGAGCAAATGGGGAAACAAGGTTTGTCATGAATCTTACTTTAATCGATTGTCATGAAGATTCTGATCCGTTTTTCCAAATCTTTAGGTGGGTATGGAAGGTGAAAAGCTAGGTATCCACGCCGAGAAAGGATTGGAGAAGGTTAAATGGCAGAAATTCTCAGGAAAAGCACCAGGACTTACTTGGTACCAGGTGGATATACTAAACCTTCCCCTGAAAACAAGAAAGATATGATCATAATTCAACAAATAACTTGGAAAGCAAGAAATGTGATCTAATGAACAGCATTTTAAATATTGCAGACATACTTTGATGCGCCAGAAAGCGTAAGCGCAACAGCAGTTAGGATGAATGGAATGGGGAAAGGTTTGATTTGGGTGAACGGAGAAGGTGTTGGTCGATACTGGATGTCGTTTTTATCTCCTTTAGGCCACCCAACGCAAATTGAGTATCACATCCCTAGGTCTTTCTTGAAGCCCAAGAAAAACTTGTTGGTTATATTTGAGGAAGAACCAAATGTGAAGCCAGAGCTTATCGACTTTGTCATCGTCAATAGAGACACTGTGTGTGCTCACATCGGTGAAGAATACACTCCTAGTGTCAGACACTGGACCAGGAAGAATGACGTAGTCGAGGCCATTACTGATGACGTGAATCTCTCGGCTAGTCTCAAATGTTCCGGCACTAAGAAGATCGCCGCTGTGGAGTTCGCTAGTTTTGGAAACCCTAATGGTACTTGTGGAAACTTCACCCTTGGATCTTGCAATGCTCCTGTCTCTAAGCAAGTCATCGAGAAGGTAAAGAAAAAACTTGGCTTGTTATTTTGTAACTAATGTTACTTCTGATATAGAATTAACGTAAACTGATTATTTTGATTGTTGTTGCAGTACTGTTTGGGGAAAGCAGAGTGTCTGATTCCGGTGAACAAGAAGACGTTCCAGCAAGACAAGAAGGATTCATGTCCCAAAATTCCGAAAAAGCTTGCTGTGCAAGTCAAGTGTGGCCGTGAGAAGAGTGAGAAGAAGAACTAAGGATGTTTTTTTGTTTTTGAATTTGCTTCGTTGAACGGTTTTGCACTAGATACAAAAACTATGCATCGATTTATTTGTTCCATTTTTGAATTTTTTTTATTAAAGCATTTATCATACGAATTATCAAGCTCCTGATTTGTAGTAGAATTTCAAATTCGCTCCGAAACAAAATATCGTATGATAAACTATTGGTTAAAGGTATATGATTGATTGCTTTGAATATTCCGATCTTATTACAATTAGGTGAAATATAAGTAACACATTTATTGGTAAATGGAAATGGGCCTAAAGGAATGGAAGCCCAATGATGAAGATCGACAACAACAACGGTCAAGTCAAGTCAAAAGCAGAAGCAGAGGAAAGAGCAAAACAGCTCAACAATCTGTCGTACGAACAAATGTCATCTGGATTGTGCCATCTGGCATTAGGGATCTACAGAAGAGTGCCTACAACATTTGTCTCTGTATAAATACTCTCTCAGTGTAACCCAAAACCCTTCCAATCAAAATACAAAGCTTAAAGCTCTTTCCTTTCAACGCAGTGTCAGTCTCACCGCCGTTTTTTCCTCTCACTGTCTCTCCGGTAAGGTTCTCTCAGCATTCTCATTTTGTTTCTTGGTCACTGATTCTGCTTGTGAGCTTCCCTTGTTGCGAAAGGTGTTACCTTTTAGTGTTTTTTTCTGTTTCTAAGCTGGGATTTGTCATGTGTTTAGCTTGATTTGGTTTCCTCACGGATTTTGCTTACCTTTTACAGTGTGATTTAGTGAACAACTTTGCTTTGAACTTTTGATTACCTCTTAACCATTGTCTTTGATGGATTGATGGGGAATCCTCCTTTTAGTTTAGTCATTCTTTGGTAAAGAAGCTATCTTTGGTTATGTTTATGTGCAACTTCATGATTCGGCTTGTTTTTATGACTCGCAAAGGTCTCCATTTTCTCTAGCTAGTCCTTTCTTTCTGTTAACGCCTATGAATATCATAAAGAAATTGTGAAAATTGGTTCACTTTGATTAGCTTCTTAATGTTCTTTCCATTTTCTTTTCACATCAGATTTTCACAATGGCACTCAGTTTCGCAGATAGGTCTCAGATGAAGAATCAGGCAGAGCACGGTAAACTTAATTACCACTCTAGAAAATACATTTTCTTTTTGTTGAGATTTGAGAATACATCAATTCACATTTTGATTCATTTGTTTTTGCCGGTTTGTGTTTTGTGTTGCAGTCTCAGATGAAGATGCTTTTGAATCTGCTGCTGTCTTAGCGGCTGAGCTGATAAGCTACGCACGGCTTTCACTTAAGCTGGACAGTGAGCGTACTGAGTACTCAGCTCAGTACTTGCTCTTGACAATATTGCGTCTTGTCGTCGTCACAGCCTCACTGTGAGAGACTGCTTGGAGTTTGCGATAAAAAACGGGATACCGAAAGCAGAGGACTGGCCACTGTTAGGATCTACGGTCAAGAAGCCACCACCATCGTACAAGCCTGCTCTGGTTTCCATGAAAGGAAAAGTGGTTGAGCATGAGGAGTTGGGAGAGGCACGTGAGTCGTTGAAGTACCAGGCGGTGGAAGCAAAGCTGCATGTGTTCAGTCCACAAATTGAGCTTCAACAAGACGTGAGTTGCTGTTAATTTAGTTAAGAGAAAATTGAGAGATGTATGAGTAGAGAATGGTTTGATGATCTACTAATGTTTAATTTGTTTTTCTGTTGTGTGCTAGGCAATTTACTTTGGAGCGTCAGGTGAGGCAGCCAAGTATGTGGGACTTAGAGAGGGAATCATAGTTGCAGTGGAGAAGATCTATGGAAAGTCGATTGCAACTGTGAAGGTTTGGTACAAGAAGCAGTTTATCACTGTCAAGGTGCCTTTGAGCAGTGGGTTTGCCTCTGAGGACATAGAGTTACACTACTACTTGTTGACTTTTGGGGTCCCGTGCCTATCCAGAGAGATTTTATCTTAAATAAGTATCTATCTAGAGAACAACAATATGCTGCTACTTGGGGAGTTTTGTTGGTTTCTTGTTCTAAGTTATGAATGTTTCAGGAGACTTTTATATGTAAGTTAACAAGTGTTGATCTCTACTTTCTCTCAAGACAAATTTTGTGATGCTCGGTTTGTTAGACACTTTTTTTTATTGTGTTTTAGTTTTGGTAAAGTCAGTCAGTCTTGGTAACCATGATTTGTCAGTTTTTTTTCAGTTTCAGGAAAATTGTATGAAAGTGACCAACGTAACATTCTAATGGTGGATAAATTTGACTCTCCAAAGCAAAACATGCGTGCCGTTTTATGAATCATAGATTTACTAGCGTGCCGTTTGGATGACAGAGAAACGACATGCAAGTCTAACGCGTAAAACACGTTTTTAGGTGGGGAAATGAGGTCCACCAGAGATAAGAATACTGCCGAGAACAGAAGATCACTGACACTTGGATCCATCTATTCTTCTTTTTGATCACATTTCCGATTGGGTGGTTTATCTCTTTGGCTCAAACTTCAACGAATACTGAAGAAAAAACAAAATTTCTCGTCTTCTTATATACGCTTTCTTCCTCGCACGACCACACGCACTCTCTCTTCTTCTTCTCTCTCTCTCTCTCTCTCTTAGACTCAACAGTAACAATGGCGGGACTCGTAGTTGACGCGGAGTACCTTAAGGAGGTCGACAAGGCTCGCCGTGAGCTCCGAGCTCTCATCGCTAAGAAGAATTGCGCTCCGATCATGCTCCGATTGGCGTTAGTTTCTATTTCTGTTCTTTTTGCGATTTTCTTCGTGTTGAGCGTTTGTAACTTCCTGTGAAAAATTGAGGAATCTCGCCTTTGTTTGTGGGATTATGTTGACTTGATGTTGACTTCTCTGTTTTCTGTGGTTTGTGTAAAGATGGCATGATGCTGGTACTTATGATGCGGAGACGAAGACAGGTGGACCTAACGGATCGATTAGGAACGAAGCTGAGTATAGTCATGGTGCCAATAGTGGTTTGAAGATAGCGCTCGATCTCTGTGGTTCGTTTTCTTTTTTTTTTTTTTCCTTATCAACGGATTAATGATTCGATTTGAGATTGAGTGATTAATTGAGTACTTTGTTTCTTAGGGCTCTGCTTCCTAACTTGACGAGACTTTGAACCTAATATACATAATACATATGGCTTTTGAAATCTTTCCAAGTTTTTATACACAAGCCTTAAGATGATTATGTGTTGGCTATGTTTCACTTGGAGTATCCAGATTTACGTGTAATCAGATAGTTCTATTAGTAGTTCATTACTTTAGACAACTATTATTCATTTCGTGTATGATTTTTGTCTTATGATTCTTAGAAGAATCTTGCTTCCTATTTTGAATTTGACGTTGATTCTATGATGTTTCAGAGGACGTGAAAGCCAAACATCCCAAAATCACTTATGCGGACCTATACCAGGTAAATAAGACGAACCTTGCTTCAAATTTTATGATTACATAAAGTACTTCATACTGGAATTAGAGCTGTAAACAAAGATGTATGATCAGATTCCTCTGTTTTTGTGCTCTTTCTTTCAGGTTTCTCTAACTTTTATATCAGCTGCCTTATAAACTCATCAAAACTTACAGGTTTTTAGATACATTTGGTTCAGTTGTGTGATATTGGAGTTCTTATGGTATACAAAACAGGGGAATTGAGATGTTTTTGCTTATTTGCAGTGTGAGGATTCCTCATATAGATGAAAATATTTGTGTGTTTTTTTCTGTCAATTGTAACATTCAGGCTAGGTATCTGTGAATTCGTAAAGTCAAATTTCACAATCAGGGCCTGCTAGTATCTTATACTAGAAAGCAAGTTTTGGATCTCACTCATTTTTACTTGAAATTGGTTCTGTCATTTTGCAGCTTGCCGGTGTGGTAGCTGTTGAAGTAACTGGTGGACCTGACATCAGTTTTGTCCCTGGCAGAAAGGTAAAATATTCTCTCAGCCATTAAGATTAATGGTTTTAAAGCTTAACGTCTAAAGCAATTAACTATATTAGTGGTATGTTTCTCGCTTATAGGATTCAGATGCCTGCACTAACGAAGGAAGACTTCCTGATGCTAATCAAGGTGGGATATATTTTGGTTTTCCTTTAGTTACAAACTCTAAAGTGTTTTTTTTAAGTAGACTTTGTTTTTGAGTAGCCAATGTTTTCCTCATTGAAGGTTTGAAGTTATATCTGCTAATTTTCTTGTAGGTCACAAACATCTCAAAGATGTCTTCTACCGAATGGGACTGTCTGATAAAGATATTGTGGCACTCTCAGGAGCTCATACTCTGGTAAATTCTTTGTTTCACAATTCATATTTGTCCTTTTTGAGTATTAAATACATGTGTTGCGTGCGTATGAGGTTTTAAATCAAATGCCAATGTTTAGGGAAGGGCTCATCCAGAGAGATCAGGTTTCGATGGACCATGGACTCAAGATCCTCTTAAGTTTGATAACTCCTACTTCGTGTAAGATCCTCTAAGTCTTGCACATTTTATATTTTGCTTTGTGGAATGTTCTGATTATTCTGATTATTATTGCACTGTTTAATTCATAACAGGGAATTGCTGAAAGAAGAAGAATCTGAGGGCTTGCTGAAACTTTCGACGGACAAGACTTTGTTGGAAGCCCCGGAGTTCCGTCAATACGTTGAGCTTTACGCAAAGGTATGTTTCATCTCTATTGTGAAATCAAAAGATTTCATTGAATTATTAATCCCAAGATGCTGCAAATTGAGTTTCATAAGGACAGGCCAAGATTATGTTGCTAGTAACATCTAAATTTCTTCTTTGTTAACCATTTTGTTTCTTAGCAAGTAAATTTTTTTGTTCCAACAGGACGAAGATGCATTCTTCAAGGACTATGCAGAGTCACACAAGAAACTTTCAGAGCTCGGGTTCACACCAGCGTTTTCAGTCACTAAGGCCATAGCAGAGAGCACCGTGATGGCACACAGTGCGGTCGGGGTCGGGGTCGCAGTCGCTGCTGCTGTAGTGGCCTTGAGCTACTTCTATGAAATTCGCAAGAAGATGAAGTAAATGGAAATAAAACACAAGAAACGATTTCCATCACTTCCTATCTCTCTGGTTTGTAAAAGCATGTAAAAACGATATAAAGTGAACTCTAGATTCTCTTATATTGTTTACTACTATATTCTGAGACAAAGATAACACATCCCAACAGATTTTTCGCTTAAATCAACCTTTTGGTTTATCCTTCTTGATTGATTGTCCGTAAGTCGGAAACGAAGTTGGTTGGTCCGGTTCACTTTGTGATGGTTAAGGATGGTCCATCCAGAATTTAGATTACGTTTTTGGGTTTTGGGTCTTAACCGGGTCCGGGTATTATCTTTAATTTTTAAAGAACCGAAGTCAGATTTTTCACTCTTTTTGGAGGTTTCGAATATGTAAAAGATAAAATTAATACCACATTATAACCCAAATTAACATTTTTCCTGTTCTGAGATTGTTTTTTTTATCTAGATCGGTTTGGTTTTTCGGATGTCTTCTTATTTGATTTTGGTATAGTTTGGTTTATTACAGGCTTGAACTACTAGGTTTGGTTTTGGTAGAAGTAGAACCAATAATACATTCCGCTTTGGAAGTGAACTCATGGTCTACTGGTTTGGTAGTTTGTTGTTTGCTTCGGTTTGGTTGGCTCCATTTGTTTCATATATTTGAGATCTATGGTTACATAGTGCTTCGTTGTAGAGTTGCCTCGTACTCTACGTAACGTTGATATTTTTAAAATACATTATAGCATTGAATGATGATAATAAGATTGGTGAATAAGTACCAACCACATCTTACACCATGTGGGACTCACCTGAAACCGAACCTTATCGAGGACTAGACATGGTTGGTATTGTTAGGTACGAAGCTTCCTTGGACTTTTTTTGGTTTTAATTATGTCCTTTTTACTTCGAATGTTTAGGATAATATTTATAATATCCATTTTGTAAAATTTAGTTATAGATTTCGGGTTAGTCGCATACTGTATACTCTTTGATTGTTTTGTTCCCCTTCACATTTGTGTTTATGTGCCCACGTTAACATAGTGTAACTTTTTCTTTCTAATGAGATTTCAATATTAGTGTTTTGATCACTTTTTTTTGTAAATGCAGACAAAAAAATGAATGAGGCTAATGTGGTAATTACCAAAAAGTTAGTTAGAACAACTTTCAGGATGACCGGTGTATGTTGCAATCTGTCTTTGTATATTGTAAGGTAAGGTCGGGCCATGACCTCTTTTTCATTTCTAACCACTTTTTTGTTTAAACTATTTTTACCTATTAAAAGTAAAAGTGAAAATCAAAGGAAAAATGAGAGTTTTCGATAGTACGTAAAAGTAGTTAACTAAATTGTGCGTTATATTTTTCTTTGTTTTATTTATCATGCATGCTTTAGTTCCAATATTATCTTATACAAATAATTATCACGGCAACTCAAGCAACAATAAGATAAACCTATAGTTTATTAGAATTGCACCTTCATTTACGAACTTTAGCTTATAGTTTCAAACTGAATTTAGTTTTGCATTATAATGTATATATGCGGACGTATTACGGCAACCGTTAATAAACTAATGGTTTATCTTTTAGGTTTAAAGGGACGAGTAGATATAAATAATATTGAAAGACTTAATTTAGCTTATCAATCAAGTCTTGTCCTAACAAATTAATTAAACAAGTAAACAATATTAGAACAAGCAATCTAAAGACGCAAGGAAAGACTAACTAAATTAAATAAACAAACCCCTTTATATATCTAACAAACATTTTTAACCATCAATCAATCATATAGACAAATGAAAAAGAAGAGTTGGAGATATGATGATAAAATAATGAAAAACGAAGTTGGACTATTCCCCCACAAGGCGTCACGTATGGGCACATAAGGCATTTGTCCCAACAAGATGATAGTGATTTATGAGTTTGGTACAACATTGATATTCTAGAACATCTTTTTTTTGTTTGAAGTGTTTATCTGTTCGTATTTTGTGTTTTGTATAGTTAGAGGGTAAAAAGCGGTGACACGTGGTTGCAATTATTAAAAAATAATTCGGCGGTGTAATGGTGTTCACACATTTTGACTAGGGTTGTGAACTTTACGAAAATTTAATTATTGGGATTGGAACATAAGATCTAACTAATTAAAAGATTGTAAGAGTTGAAGTATGTGCATCCATACCAATCAAATTAACCAGAAGCTTGCGGTCTTGTAATTCATCGTGTTGGTTAAATCATAGATGTAGATCACGAAGTTGACTAGGGCTACATTTTTTTCATTTCCCATGCATTATTATCTCAATAAGCTATTTATCACCTACCTACTTCTACTTGATATGTAAAAGCAAAACAAATGATTTCTTATTTCAAGAGTAATTTGTCACTCATCATCCGTAACCTAATTAAGAGGAGATGTAAATACGTTATTCATTAAAATACCTTTATAGACATTAATACTAATTAACAACACGTTCCAAACTCAGTTATATATACTTGTACGAATAACATGATGTTTTTGTTGAACCACAAATTTTGTATCGTTTCATTTTTGAGATGTTTGATGATCCGAAATTGTGAATAATAGATGCTTTTGAGATCTACATCCTCCGATCGGGAAAAAAGAAAGAAAAAGAAAAATAGTGAATAATGTGAATGTGGTAGTTATAGTTTGATGTAAAATAAAATATTAAACAAACAAAATTACAAAAACAAAAAACCCCCACCAGCCACTCCTTCAAACGTGTCCTACCAACTCTCTTCTAGAAGCAATTAGGCTCACCTTCCACCTCCAACCTTCCTCTCTCTCCTCTCTCTCTCTTCTCTCCATAAAGCCCTCACAACAACATCACAAGCACACAGAAGAAGAAGAAGAAGAAACAATGGGAAGATCTCCTTGCTGCGAGAAGGAACACATGAACAAAGGTGCTTGGACTAAAGAGGAAGACGAGAGACTCGTCTCTTACATCAAGTCTCACGGCGAAGGTTGCTGGCGATCTCTCCCTAGAGCCGCCGGTCTTCTCCGTTGCGGCAAAAGCTGCCGTCTCCGGTGGATTAACTATCTCCGACCTGATCTCAAAAGAGGAAACTTTACACACGACGAAGACGAGCTTATCATTAAGCTTCATAGCCTTCTCGGCAACAAGTGAGTCCCCTTTCTTTCAAAATTTCACTCACAGATTCACTTCTTTGCTCTGTTTTCTGAAGCTTATGCTCTGTTTTTTCTTTCTTTCATCAGATGGTCTTTAATTGCGGCGAGATTGCCTGGAAGAACAGATAACGAGATCAAGAATTACTGGAACACGCATATAAAGAGGAAGCTTTTGAGCAAAGGGATTGATCCGACTACACATAGAGCGATCAACGAAGTTAAAGTTCATGATTCGAAAAAAACAGAGGAGAAAACTGTGAAAGATGTTGCCTTTGTATCAAGGTTTCAGAAAACAGAGACATCCGTGGAGCAGAAGCAAGTTAAAAACCAGAAGAGGAATCGAACTAATGGGTTAGTTTGCAAAGAAGAGAGAGTTGAGTATTATTATCCAGTCGCTGTTAAAGAAGAGAAACTATGTCCAGATTTGAATCTTGAGCTTAAGATCAGTCCACCATGGCAAAACCAGAATCATGTCGATGATCAGAGAAGGGAGAGATCATTCTACACTGCGTCCCGTTTTTACATGGAAAACGGCGTGGAGTGTAGTAGTGATACTGCAAAATGTCAAACAGAGGATAGTAGTAGCATTAGCTATTCTTCAGTTGACATTAGTAGTACAAGCAGCGTTGCTTATGACTTCTTGGGTTTGAAGACTAGAGTTTTGGATTTTCGGAGCTTGGAGATGAAATAAACAAAAATAAATACATTTTAGAATATGATAATTTGTAGGTGTGATAATGTTAGACTCTTGATTTGGCTTCTACTTTCATCGTCATTGTCCATTTTTATTTTCCAACTTTTGTACATAAACTTAAAATCTTTGAGATCAGATTTACCATCTCATAAATTGAGTTTGAGTTCATTTTTTTTTTGTATTATCATTTTCACTATTTTGCAAGTACGTTAGTCGTTGTGGACATTTTTAAAGTGAGATGAGTTAGTGATTTGTTGTTTTTTTTAGAATTTGTTGATTATCTTTTGAAATGTTTATATTTTTTTTTGCTGAACTTTTGTATTGGTAAGAGAAGATTTATAACTCGCTTTATCTCTAATGGGATTTGGAATAATTTAGGATATTAGTACTAAATCTTAAATTAGTGATTTTGCATTTGATTTATATCTCTAACTAAATGGTTCTAGAGATGGAGACGATAAAATAGTTTATGACTTATATCTCATAAATTGATTTTGAGTTTTTTTTTTTTTTGTATTATCATTTTCACTATTTAGCAAGTACGTAAATCGTTGTGGACATTATTAATGTGAGATGAGTTAGTGATTTGTTGTTTTTCAAGAATTTGTTGATTATCTTTTGAAATGTGTTCATAATTTTTTGCTAAACTTTTGTATTGGTAAGCAGAGAAAATTTATAGCTCGCTTTATCTCTAATGGATTTTGGAATCAATTTAGGATTAGTACTAAATCTTAAATTAGTGATTTTGCATTTGATTTATACCTTTAACTAATTGGTTCTAGAGATGGAGACGATAACTATTTAAGATCTTGGTCAGGCTCGAAGTTTTTTTTATCTCGATCACACCTGATGCTGTGCCGTTTGACCTTGCATTTATATGAGATAACAATACATTTCGATAAGATTCACTATTTTCAATAATGAACCACAAGTGCATTTGGCATTTTAGAGAAATTAGTTCTCTAACATACAATAGGATCAATATCCCATCAACAATGTCAGGCTCCGATCACACCTGATGCTGTGCCGTTTGACCTTGCATTTATATGAGATAACAATACATTTCGATAAGATTCACTATTTTCAATAATGAACCACAAGTGCATTTGGCATTTTAGAGAAATTAGTTCTCTAACATACAATAGGATTGAGAATTCATAAAATCATAGGAAGTTTTGATATCCGGAAGTTTCGAAATATGAAAACTTTTGTTTTTTTTTTGCTTTTACTACATAAGGTTAGCAAGGGACGTAGATCCACCTATAGGTGTTAGTCTTTATTACATTGTTAAGCCGTTATTGCTCGTCTTTCTAATTACATGACAAAGGAGTAATTTAACATTGACTATGATGTAGTGAACGTAGTATTAAGAATAGCTCATTTTTTTATTAAACTCCGAAGATTAGTCTTGATTCCGAGCCGAGATCTCTCGGTTATAAAGATATATATATTTTTTTTTTCACAAAGAAGATAATATTTTAGTTACTAACTTGGTTTTACTATCGCCATAGTGACTTGAAGAACGCTTGATATTTTTCATAGAAGTGATAAGTTGTATGAGGATGAGAAGTGTGAGAACGATTGAGGTGGTTGGTTGGTACATGTTTCTATTCATTACATACTTTAAAGACTGTCCATTGATCCATGTATGGGACTTTCGTTGGATTTTTGCAAACTTAAAATATGTCTTCTGTCAATAAAAGATCACTTTCAGAAATTCAATTGGGTACATAAACCTTCTTTAATCTAAAACGAATCTAACCCACAAATGGCACATGAAAAATATGTAAACATCAGACTGATTCACGTAGATACAAAGGGTCACACAGAATCAAGGTACAACATGTCAATTTCGACCACACAAACGGTTTGATTAAGGAATAAGGATTGTGGGAATGTCAATTTAAACTTTCATGTCCATTTATTGCAATGAAACATACATTAGTGAAAATTGAAAAACATCGCATACAAATGATATAATTGGGCAAAATATGCAACTTCAAAATATTTCGGGCATAATCGTCTATAATTTAATTTTAAATTCCACACTGTAATTTGGGCCTGCGGATCCAAATAAAATTAGGCCTACACTTAAAACGTAGATAGATGGAAGAAACAAAAAAAGGATCTCAATAATCTTCTTCATCTGTCTAGGGTTTTGCCTCTTGTCTCCACTGTCGTCTCGTTAACCTAGAGAGTCGCTCTTCTCATCTTCTCCATGAAAAGGCTTTCAAAAAAACCAAAGTTAAAGCAGCTCCTGCTGTGGTTAAGGCCACGACGTCTTTGAAGAGAGACGTGATTGAGAAGGAACAATCCGATACGAAGGAGATGATAAAAGGAATAGCTGATAGTATTCAACGGAACGAAGAAAAGCTTGAGATGTTGATCTCATCGAGTAGTTCAAGTAATGGAGTTGCTGCAGCTGTTAAAACTGGCTCCGTAAAAGCTGAGTCAGAAAGCAGTTCGTCTGATGACGAATCATCTCCTGATGACGAATCATCTTCTGATGATGAGCCTGCCAAGAAAAAGACTAAAGAAGATACCAAGACTCCTAAAGAGGAGAGCACTAGTGACGATTCTAGCGAGGAATCTGATGAAAAAGAGATTCATACTCGTTTTGGCCCTGGTCGTGGTCTTTTTGTCGGTGGTCGTTTACGCGGTGGTCGTTGTGGCGGTCGAGGCCGTTGTGGTGGCTGTTGAGGTTTTAGTGTAGACAGGTCTCATGGAAACGGACTAGTTTTACACTCATATAAGAAGACTATCTTCGACGATATGGAGTGAAAAGCTTTTTCTTTTGGAAGAAGAAGTGGAAGTGCAACCCTTTCAATGTTATGTTTTGTTTAGGTATTAGTTAAATCTATTAAGTTGAGAAACGATTTCTATGAATTAATTTACGCAATCCAAATATTTTACAACTTCTGTACATGTCTTCAAGAATACACGAATAAATCTGAAGAAATCATAAACACAAGTACCGTTCCATTAACAATCATACATAGCTTCAGAGATATATATCTTTGAGCAACGACCTTACTATTTTCCAATGTACATGCAATGAAGGCTCCAACTGATAACCAAGGAATGAGGGGGAATAAATAAGTTCCCTCTCATTCCTTAAGAATTACACCATTCATAAGGAATGTGTATCTTATATTATTCTCCTTCATTCCATATTAATTAAAAACTTTTAGTGTTAAAATATTTCTTATCAAAAAACTGTAGGAATAAGTTCCCTAAATTTTATTCCTCTTCATTCCTTTCATTCTCATTCCTTTTGTTCCTTTAAAGCTCACCGCCGAAGTAAGTGAGTAACCAGTAAAACTCAATTCTTATCGAGAAAGCCAAAGCCTTTTGTTTCTAATGTAACAATATGTAAATTCTTGTTCACCAAGTCGGAATAAAAATATGATAGCATCAGTTCTCAAATGATATTGGTTCAATTTTTTATGATAAATCAAATACACCATAGTAAGTAAATATGTTTTTATGGTAAATCAAATGATATTTTATGTATTATATATATATATATATATATATATATCCAATCTTACATATTTGTTTTAACGTAATTAATGACCAAATATCTCTATATTTCCTTATTAGGTTTAGAAGTCGGCATAAAAATTATATAAATACATCGATCCCATGGTCTAAGAAATACAAGTTATTATTGTTCAGAGAATTCATTATTTGTCACTCGACCTCTCTCCATAATCTCTCTTGAAACCCTAGAGTCGCTCTTCTCATCTTCTCCATGAAAACGAGATCCAGCACCAAAGTTAAAGCAACTCCTGCTGTGGTTAAGGCCGCGAGGCCTATGAAAAAGGTTAAGAGAGAAGCCGAAGATGATTTGGAGTTGGAGAACAATAAGAAAGACGTGACTGAGAAGGAACAACCTGTTTCGACGGAGATGATGAAAGGAATAGCTGATCGTATTCAACGGATAGAAGAAAAGATTTATTTGTTGATCTCATCGAGTAGTTCAAGTAGTGGAGTTGGTGCAGCTGTTAAAACTGGCTCCGTAAAAGCCGAGCCAGAACGAAGTTCGTCTGATGATGAGCCTGCCGAGAAAAAGGCTGAAGAAGATACCAAGACTCTTAAAGAGGAAAGCACTAGTGATGATTCTAGCGAGGAATCTGATGAAAAAGAGATTGATACTCGTTTTGGCCCTGTTGGTGGTCTTTTTGTCGGTGGTCCTTTTCGCGGTGGTCGGTGTGGTGGTCTTCGCCAATGTACAAGATGTTGAGGTTTTAGTGGCGGAAGAATAGACAGGTCTCATGGAAACGGACCTAGTTTTACTACTCATATAAGAAGACTATCTTCGACGATATGGAGTGAAAAGCTTTTTCTTTTGGAAGAAGAAGTTTTTTTTTGGTGTTTTTAACTTGTGTGATACAATATAAGTGCAACCCTTTCAGTGTTATGTTTTGTTTAGGTATTAGTTGAATCTATTAAGTTGAGAAAAACGATTTCTATGAATTAATTTACACAATCTAAATATTTTACAACTTCTCTTCAAGAATACACGAATAAATCTCAAGAAATCAGAAACATAAGTACCATTCCTGTTGAGATATCAGTCAAGTCCCACATTTGGAAGTTTAGACAAGAAGTGTCTAATATATAAGTAGTGTTCAACTCCAACTAGTATGAGGCCAGTTCCATTAACAATAATATATAGCTTCAGAGATATATTCTTTGAGCGAAGACGTTACTATTTCCAATGTACATGCAATGAAGTAAGTGAGTGACTGACCAATAAACTCAATTCCTATCGGCAAAGCCAAAGTCTTTGTTTCTAATGTAACATTATGTCAATTCTTGTGCAGCAAGTCGGAATAAAAACATGAGCATCAGTTCTCAAATGATACTGGTTCAATTTTTTTATGATAAATCAAATACACCATAGTAAGTAAATAGATTTTTATGATAAATCAAATGATATAAGTTTTATGTATTATAGATACATCCAATCTTACATATTTGTTTTAACGTAATTAATGACCAAATCTCTATATTTCCTATTTGACCTTTCCGCGTTAGGTTTAGAAGTCGGCATAAAAATTGTATAAATACATCGATCCCATGGTCTAAGAAATACAAGTTATTCAGCGAATTCATTATTTGTCACTCGACCTCTCTCCATAAACTCTCTTTAAACCCTAGAGTCGCTCTTCTCATCTTCTCCATGAAAAAGAGATCCAACACCAACGTTAAAGCAGCTCCTGCTGTGGTTAAGGCTACGACGCCTTTGAAGAAGGTTAAGAGAGCAACTCCTGCTGTGGTTAAGGCCACGACGCCTATGAAGAAGGTTAAGAGAGAGGCGGAAGATGATGTGGAGAACCATAAGAAAGACGTGACTGAGAAGGAACAATCTGTTTCGATGGAGATCTCATCGAGTCTTTCGAATAATGGAGTTGCTGCAGCTGTTAAAACTGGCTCCGTAAAAGCCGAGGCAGAAAGCAGTTCGTCTGATGACAAATCATCTTCTGATGATGAGCCTGCCGAGAAAAAGGCTGAAGAAGGTACCAAGACTCCTAAAGAGGAAAGCACTAGTGATGATTCTAGCGAGGAAACTGATGAAAAGATTGATACTCGTTTTGGCCCTGCTCGTGGTCTTTATGTCGGTGGTCGTTTTCGCGGTGGTCGCTGTGGCGGTCGTCGCCAATGTTGCGCTTGTTGAGGTTTTGGTGGCGGAGGAAGAGACAGGTCTCATGGACCGGACCTAGTTTTACTACTCATCTAAGAAGACTGTCTTCGATGATTAGGAACGATTAGGAGTGAATAGCTCTGTGTTTTTCTTTTTGGAAGAATTTTTTTGGTGTTTTTAATTTGTGTGATACAATGCAATTGCAAACCTTTGAATTTTACGTTTTGTTTAGGTCTTAGTTGAACCTATTAAGTTGAGAAACGAATTCCATGAATTATTTTGCGTAATCCAAATATTTTACAACTTCTGTGTCTTCAAGACTACATGAATTAATCTCAAGATCACAAACACAAGCACAAGTACCATGAACAATATAAAATACATAGCTTCAGAAATATATATCTTTATATTAAGCATATGTACATACAATGAAGTAGGTGAGTGACCAATATAACTCAATTCTTATCGGCAATGCCAAAGCCTTTTGTTTCTAATGTATATGTAAAACTCTTGTGCACCAAGCCAGAATAAAAACATGAGCATCAGTTCTCAAATGATATTGGTTCAGTTTTCTGATTATAAATCAAATACTTCATATTTTTTAAAAATCACAGAAAGATTTAATAATTTAAGATAAAAAATCAAAATAATAACTTTTCAATTGAATTACATTAAGAAAAATAAAAATCAAACTATACTAAATATATTAATATTTTATTGATGATAACTTTAATGTCTCACCAATGGATTCTCTATATTTCCTATTTGCAAGCTTTTCCCTTTTTTACATTAGGTCTAGGAGTCGGCAAAAAGTTGTATAAATATATATCTAATATTCAGCAATTCTTAATTAGCCTCTTTCCCTTTATCTCTCTCAAACCCTAGAGTCGTCGCTCTTCTCATTCTTCTCCATGGATACTATATCCGCTGCCAAAGTTGAAGCATCCCCTGCTGTGGTTAAGGCCATGGAAGACTTATTGGAGATGCATAGGAAAGACGTGATTGACAAGCAACAATCTGTGACGGTGGAGATGTTAAAAGGATTAGTTGATCGTATTCAGCGGATCGAAGAAAAGTTGGATTTGTTGATCTCATCGCGTCCTTCGATTCCATCAGTTTTTAAACCATCTAATCCTTTCTCCACGCAACCAGGCATGCCTCCCTTCGCACCCACTCAGTTACACTATGGAACAAAAGAAGGAATTGACGCAAAGGTCGACAGGACAAGCTTCGGGAGCAAACCGTTTGGTGATAAAATAGATAGTGATGGTCCTTATGCTCCTTTTGGTCGTGGTCGTGGTCTTTTTGTCGGTGGTCGTTTTGGCGGTGGTCGTTGTGGCGGTCAAGGCTATTGCACTCATTGTTAAGGTTTTGGTGGCGGAGGAAGAGACGTTCTCATTGAAACAGGCCTAGTTTTACTACTAAGATAAGAAGATTATGTTCGAGGATTAGGAGTGAAAAGCTCTTTTTTGGAAGAAGATGAAGCTTTTTTGGTGTTTCTTTTTAAACCTAAGTGTAAATAACACAACCTTTTTCAATAGTTCAGTTTATCTCATGTTCTAGTTACGTTTTTGTTCAGACAATAGTTTAATATATTCAGTTAAGAAACAAATTCTTTTGAGTGCCTTGGTAGTAGCCATAAATTAGTTTTATATAATCCAATTCATAACTTCGTGTCTTAATTCCTAATAATACATGAATTGTTCTCGAGAAATCACAAGCACAAACAAGTACTCGTTTCACAAAATAATACATAGCTTTCGGAAATATCCTTTTAATGTACATGCAATGAAGTGAGTGCTAATAAAACTCAATTCTTATTGGTAAACCCAAATCCGTGTGTTTCTCAACTATTACGTTTCTAGTAACAATTGTTAATAGTATATGATAGTGCAATGCATCGCCCGTGTGCTAACTATCCACTCTCTTTTGCACTCGAAGTATATATATGTTGTCATGAATGATTATCCGCATTAGGATTAATGAACACAAACTCTGATCTGCAATTAAAACAACAAAAGGTTAATACCGTTTTCTTATGTTCTAGTTACGTTTTGTTCGGATATTAGTTGAATCTATTCAACTGAGAAGCGATTTCTGTGGAGTTCCTTAAGTAGCGTATCCATAATATTAATTTACAAGAGCAGAGAAACAAGACACTGGTTTGTAAAACCTAACAACCAAAGTTTAAGGACACGAAAAAAGTTCTGGAACAACAAAGCATCTAGAAACTTGAAAGTGCAAATACGGAAACATCCACTAGAAGCAATACACGTGGCTTCTTTACCACCAGCATCTCTTTTAAATTTCATTTCATATTTTTCGCTGTATATACCATATTATTTTATTTGCGTGACACTCTTTTTTTTTCTTCTGGAAAACACATAGACATTCTACCTTAAACTACTTTTTAATTGTCGTAAAAAAAAATACTACTTTTTAATTAGTAGTAAGAAAGACATTTCGAATATTACATATTATTTTGTAGATAATTACCAGTTGTATATATTTTCCTATATACAGTATTTCCAAATTTTTCCTTTTTACATTAAGTTTAGTAACCGGCATAAAGTTGTATAAATACATGGACCTTATGGTCTAAGAAATACAATCAGTTCTCTCTCTAAAGCCCTAGAGTCGCTCTTCTCATATTTTCCATGGACACTAAAACCGCTACCAAAATTGAAGCCGCTCCTGCTGTGGTTAAGGCCATGGAAGAGTTAATGGAGATGCATAGGAAAGACGTGACTGGGAAGGAACAATCTGTTGTGACAATGGAGATGATAAAAGGACTATCTGATCGTATGCAGCGGATCGAAGAAAAGTTGGATTCGTTGATCTCATCGCGTCTTTCAAATCCTGCAGCTTTTAAAACTGGCCCTGTAAATTCCAATCCTTTCTCCATACCCCCCTTTCCACAACCTCAGATACACGCAGGAAAAACAGTGGGAACTGATGCAAAGGCCGGTGGAACAAGCTTCGAGAGCATTCCGTTTGATGAAGAGATGGAGAATGTTAGTGCTTTAAATCCTTTTGAAGGTAGTAGTGGTAGTGTTAGTGGTCCTGGTGGACCACCTTTTAGTCCTTCTAGTGGTCGTGGTCGTGGTCTTTATACCGGTGGTCGTTTTGGCGGCGGTCGTTGTGGCGGTCAAGGCTTTTGTAGCTTCTGTTAAGGTTTTGGTGGCGGAGGAAGAGACGTTTGTCACAGAAACGGACCTAGTTTTACCAAGACGCTTCTTGCGATGTTGTGTGTTTTAACTTTTGTGATACAATATTACAATGCAACCTTTTCAATAGTTAAGTTTTTCTTATGTTCTTGTTATGTTCTTTTTCAATATATTGTTTAGAAATTTGTCGAATCTATTATTCAATTGAGAAACGAATTCTATGGAGTGCCTCTAGTAGCTTCCACAATTTAATTCACCTAATCAATATATAAAAGAAATTGTAATTTTAAAACGTCACAAAGAGTTTCAATAACCTAGTTTATCATCTATAAAATCCATCTTGATTCGAATCACATGCAGTAAGGCCTTTGGTTCAACAAGTATCCTCACACCTTTGTCTTCCACCAGCCCATCAAATTTCGTTTTCTCATCCGATCCAACCAAACATAACCCGCAACACAGCAAATCATATTTTCCGAAAATGTCAATATATATTTTGGTTAGTATTGATTTTATGTTTTATGTAGTTTATAAATGTTTAGATAAATTATTCCTCCGCAATCCTTAAATTATTATTAGAATTTGCAAATAAAAATAAATTTTAAAAAAATAAAAACTAATTATTTTAAAACAAAATATATCAATACTTATTTTTGAATTTAATGTCGTAAATCTACTTTTTTAGATTTTATGATTGTTTTTCCATAATTAATTATTTAATTTTATAAATATATATTTTTAGTTTTTAATGATTTCTATATAATTATTTTTTTATAACTATAGTTTTTGAGTTGATTAAATTGGCACTTTTGTAATATTTAATTATTTTAAATATAAAATTATACTTCTCAATATTAATATAGAGATATCCAATCTTTAGATATTTTTTTTAATAAAGATAATTTACCAATTCTCTATTTCCTATTTGTGAATTTTTCCTTTTTATATTAGGTTTGGAAGTCGGAATAAAGTTGTATAAATACATCGACCTTGTGGTCAAGAAACAAATAAATTTATTCAGCAATTCATTCTTTTTGGCCCTCTCTCCGGTATCTCTCTTTAAACCCTAGAGTCGCTCTTCTCATTCTTCTCCATGAACAACCAAACCGCTGCCAAATTTGAAGCATCTCCTGCTGTGGTTAAGGCCATGGGAGAATTATTGGAGATGCATAGGCAAGACGTGATTGAGAAGCAACAATCTGTGGCGATGGAGATGATTAAAGGATTATCTGATCGTATGCAGCGGATCGAAGAAAAGTTGGATTCGTTGATCTCATCGAGTCCTTCGAATCTTCCTGGACCTCCTGGAGCTTTTAAACCTAGTCCGTTCTTCACACAGCCACGCAAACTTGAAAATAGCCCCTTCGCAGCCACTCAGATACAGCAAGGAAAACAAGAGAGAATGGTCGACAGAACAAGCTTAATGGATAATGATAGGCCTTTTAAGTTTTCCGGTCGTGGTCGTGGTCTGTTTGTTGGTGGTGCTTTAAGCGGTGGTCGTTGTGGCGGTCTAGGGTTTTGTGGCGACTGTTGAGGTTTTGGTGGCGGCCTCGTGGAATGGAGCTTGGTTTACTACTCATGTAAGAAGACTATCTTCGACGATCAGGAGTGAAAAGCTCTTTTCTTCTGGAAGAAGAAAATAAGCTTTTTGGTGCTTTTAACTTTTGTGAAACAATCCAACCTTTTCAATAGTTCTGTTTTTCTTATTGCGCATTGTTTATTTACAAGCACATATGGAGTGTCTTTAGTAGTACAATAAATTGATTTACTCATTTGATCTATTGGTGTTATCTGATCATCTTCTTTATGTATGTGGTTTATTGTTACTTTATGTATTCTTACATTCGAATCAATATTATAAAGCTAGATGTTATAAAAAAACAAGAACAAAGTCCAAACACTTTATAGCTTCGTTCCCTCAGAGGAATACATGAATTGATCCTAAGAAATCAAAAGCACCGCTCCATTAAACAATACGTACAAAGCTTTCAGTTGTATCTTTAAGCAACGACCAGACTGTCTCTAATGTATAAGCAATGAAGTATTTTACCAGTAAAACTCAATTTCTTATTGGCAGAGCCTTCTGTTTTTTCTAACAATGTTATATAATATATTATAGTGCATGATGTGCATCGCCAGTGTGCTAATTATCCACTCTGCTTTGCGCTCGAAGTAGATGTCGTAATGAATGATTCACCACATCCGCATTGCCAGTTAAGATCTGACTTATGAACACAAACTCTGGTTTGCATATTAATCAAACCGACAAGAGCCTATTAAAAGATATTCAAACCTTGGTTTCTCATCTATAAAACCAATCTTGGATCCATTCACCTATAAATCTTCGATATTGATATCAATGCATATAGCATAAACATAAATTTCACAAAAATTAAACCTATAATATTTTTTAAGAATATTTTCAAAAAATAAAAATATTGTCATAAATCTACTTTTTAGATTTTTATGATTCTTTCACCATAATCAATTTTTATTTAATGTCATAAATCTATAATTTTTTATTTATTATTAGAATTTTGCAACTAAAAATAAATTTTACAGAAAAACTATAATATTTGAAAAATATAATTTATTTCTAATTTGATGTCATAAAACTACTTTTTAGATTTCATGCTTGTTTCACCATATTAATTTTTATTTAATTTCATAAATCTATAAGTTTTATATTTTTATAGAGATATATCCAGTCTTACATATTTATTTTTACCGTAATGACCAAATCTCTATATTTCCTATTTGTGTTACATTAGGTTTAGAAGTCGGCATAAAAGTTGTATAAATACATCGATCTCATGGTCTAAGAAATAGAAATTATTATTCAGCGAATTCATCACTCGAACCTCTCTCCATAATCTATCTTTAAACCCTAGAGTCGCTCTTCTCATCTTCTTCATGAAAACGAGATCTAACACCAAAGTTAAAGCAGCTCCTGCTGTGGTTAAGGCCACGACGCCTTTGAAGAAGCTCAAGAGAGAGCGGGAAGATGATTTGGAGAACCGTAAGAAGGACGTGACTGAGAAGGAACAATCTGTTTCGATGGAGATGATGAAAGAATTAGCTGATCGTATGCAACGGATGGAAGAAAAGATTGATTTGTTGATCTCATCGAGTCGTTCGAGTAATGGAGTTGCTGCAGCTGTTAAAACTGGCTCCGTAAAAGCCGAGCCAGAACGCAGTTCGTCTGATGATGAGCCTTCCGAGAAAAAGGCTGAAGAAGATACCAAGACTCCTAGAGAGGAAAGCACTAGTGATGATTCTAGCGAGGAATCTGATGAAAAAGAGATTGCTCGTTTTGGCCCTAGTCGTGGTCTTTTCGTCGGTGGTCGTTTTCGCGGTGGTCGTTGTGGCGGTCGTCGCCTTTGTTCAACTTGTTGAGGTTTTGATGGCGGAGGAAGAGACAGGTATCATGGAAACGGACCTAGTTTTACTACTCATGTAAGAAGACTATCTTCGACGATTAGGAACGATTAGGAGTGAAAAGCTCTGTGTGTTTTTTTTTTTTATTTATGAAGAAGTAGTTTTTTTGGTGTTTTTAACTTGTGTGATACAATGCCACAATGGAATTGCAAAACTTTAAATTTTACGTTTTGTTTAGGTATTAGTTGAATCTACTAAGTTGAGAAACGAATTCTATGAATTATTTTACGTAATCCAAATATTTTACAACTTCTGTATCTTCAAGCACAAGTACCATTAACAATAATACATAGCTTCAGTTCTAATGTACATGCAATGAAGTAAGTGAGTGACCAGAGAAATTTTGCTATTGATGATAACTTTAACGGTTATCTCACCAATGGAAATAAAAATTTGTGATACATTAAATATTAAATACATTAAATTTAAATGGAAATATTAAATTTGTGATAAAAATTTCAAAATAAATACATTAAAAATATTATTACTGTATTGGTGAGATATTCAATGGATATTCTCACCAATGAATTCTCTATACAATATTTCCTTTTTTACATTAGGTTTAGAAGTCGGCAAAAAGTTGTATAAATAAATATATACTAGAGTTTGACCCGCGCCCTGCACGGGGAGATGGTTTCTGAATTTGTATTTTTTAATTAAAAATGTATATTTAACTATTTCAAAATTTTATGTGACAGATTTTTTTACCTTGTTAAGGTTTTTATCTTCGTTTATAATGTGGAAATTAAACATTTTTTAAAAATTATAAACATTGATCATAGACATAGATTAAATATGCTACTATAGATTAAATATGCTAGACTTCAGCAAGATACATAAAAATCAAATGAGTATATTTTATAAGATAAGAAGATAAAAAGTTTTAGGTGTTTACACGGATTAGAACTAACTTTTTTTATTTCTTTTAAAACTAAAACATGTTTTATTATAATTCCAAAACAATCCAACCAATAAAAGATCAATCTTGCAAAATCCAAATTGTCAAAATAACAAAAGTATAAGTAATTTTGTACTGAAAAATTGAAACAAATGGAGCAATATTCAAATTTTTGATCAAAATTAAATACATTTATAAAAAATATTATTTTATTTGATTTCATTATACAGTTTAACTAAAAAATCATATAAAATATTAAAAATAAAATTTTACATTTAGATACCTACTCTCCTACTTACATGGTTGCATATCATCTATTTTTTATAATATATTTTTACACCTACACACAACAACATATTGGGAATTTTAATAGTTTTAGTGATTATTTTGTTTTTAAAAATTCAAATCATAGCATATATAGAAAAAGTTTAGATTTTATTTATTAGATTTTTTGTATTGTGTCAATTTTTTATTTTATAAAATAAAGTTAAACAAAGATGAAAGGAGATATAGAATGATTTAAAAAAATATAATGATAGCATTAAATTGAATCTCATATTTTCCTTATTTACTAATTTTCGTAATTGTCAATTAAGGAAAGAGAATGATGATTCTTTTATTAATAATTTCATATATGATTAATCTAACTATACATATTTGATTCTCTAACCAAAAATATGAATGGCAATGTTTGTAATTAGTCTAGTAAACTAATCCTTATTTTATAAATAACATGAGAAGCTTCTAATGATGACACATCAGCATGACATTCTTGTTAATAACACATCAACTAAAGGTTATTTTTAAAGTGTTTTCTCTTTTAATATTTAATATATTAGGGATATCTAAGGCATGCCAGTTAATATTCACCAATTCTTAGCCTCTTTCCCTTATCTCTCTTAAACCCTAGAGTCGTCGCTCTTCTCATTCTTCTCCATGGACTATACATCCGCTACCAAAGTTGAAGCATCCCCTGCTGTGGTTAAGGCCATGGAAGACTTATTGGCGATGCATAGGAAAGACGTGGCTGAGAAGGAACAGTCTGAGACGATGGAGATGTTAAAAGGATTAACTCATCGTATTAAGCATATCGAAGATTTGTTGGTTACATTGAGTCTTTCGCATCCTGCTTTTAAAACTGGCCCTGTATTTGCTACTCCTTCCATGAACAGTAGTCGGGAATCTGATGCAATGCATAGTGCTCGCGGTCGTGGTCTTTATGACGGTAGTCGTGCTCGCGGTCCTGGTCTTTATGACGGTGCTCGCGGTCCTAGTCTTTATGACAGTGGTCGTAGTGGCTATCTTGGTCCTGGTTATGGTGGTCTTTATGGTGGTGCTGGTTATGGTGGTCTTTATGGTGGTGCTGGTTATGGTGGTATTTATGGTGGTGCTGGTTATGATCGTGCTGCTTATGACGGCGGTCGTGGTCGTGGTCTTTATGTCGGTGGTCGTTTTGGCGGTGGTCGTTGTGGCGGTCAAGGCTATTGTGGCGGCTGTTGAGGTTTTGATGGCGGAGTAAAGAGGCATGCCTCATGGAAACGGACCTAGTTTTACTAAGAAGTTTTTTTTGCTCTTCGTTGGTTTTAACTTTAAACTTAATTGTGATACAGTACAATGCAACCTCTTCATTAGTTCAGTTTTTCTTATGTTTCTAATTACGTTTTTGTTCAGATATTAGTTTGATATATTAATTTAAGAATAAAAATTCTTATGGAGTGTCTTTAATTTGTAGTATCAATTAAGAAATTAGTTTTACATAATCCAATTTATAACTTCGTCTCTTAATTTCCTAAAGAATATATACATGAATTAATCTCAAGAAATCACAAGCAACAATACATAGTAGCTTCAGAAATATACCTTTAAGCAACGACATAGTGTTTTGTAAATGTGAGCAAGAGTTGGAGAACTTTAGTTTATCGTCTATAAAATCGATAATTGGTTACACTTGCAGATTTTTCTACGATCCACAGACTTTGGTTTCTTTAGTTATAGTGGTCAACATTAATTTGCTAGTGTTTGATCTATTCTTATTGATTTACCATACTTTTCGACACCAAATGCTCATCCGACCATAAGTTTATAAATTGGTTTACACTTGTGTCTAAATTTAGCTTCTATTTCCCATAAAAGAAACTATAAATAATACACTTGGATCTTTGACCTCTTTAGATCCAAAAATGAATCATCTCATTATTTTTATGTTAGTTCTTGCCATGTGTTTTGGTTCGAATACATCCGCATGCGCTCCAAACATAATAACATTTTATAACCAACTTGGATATGACCGTATCCTCAAACTCAACTGCTCGTCCAACAGAAACGAAAATAATGGTATGCATGAGTTAAAACACAATGATCGCCACGAAATTTTGGTTAATGAAAGAGGAAAAGGCAGAATAGTATGGCGTTGTACGTTAAGGCAAGGTCTGAAAATGGAGTATTTTGTTACCATATGGAGAGCATATAGAGGAGCCTCTCAAAACCGATGTGGTCAGGAACGTTATTATACTGTTCTACGTGAGGGGATTTTCTTAACCAGAAATAGTATCTTGACCGATCGAGAATTTCTTTGGGAAGTTAGTAAATAATGTTTTGGTTTTTCCTTAACACTAAACATTTATGAAACTAAGTTTTTTTTTTTGTTTTTTGGTTTCGTGTGTCTAATTTATCAAGTCTTTTTTCTCTAATTTGGGTATACAAAAGTGAAAAAAAAAAAAAAAAAATCGAGAATGTAATAAAGATCCGAAGCAAATAAGTTGCGATTCTACAATAGTAGAAAATGTAATAAATAGCTACAAGCTTGGGATTTACTTCCGTATGTATGCTCAAGAAATTGTAATTCATTTGTCGAATTTTGCTTATGTTTCTGATTACGTTTTTGTTCAGATAATAGTTTAATATATTCAGTTAAGAAACAAATTCTATGGAGTATCTTTAATTACTAGTTGATAACTTGGTTTCCTTATTCCTAAAGAATACATGAATTAACTTCAAGAAATCACAAGCACAAGTACCATTAACAAGAATACATAGTAGCTTCAGAAATATATCTTTAAGCAAACGACCTTACTCATTTCTAATGTACATGGCTACATGCAATGAAGTAAGTGAGTGACCACCAAAAACTCAAATTCTTATTGGCAAAAAGCCTTCTGTCTTCTCAACGACTCTGTTTTTTTAGTAACAATGTAAATATACTTTGTTAACTATCCACCCTGTTTTGCGCTCGAGGTAGATGTTGTCATGAAGGACTCACCACATCCGCATTGCCCTTGCGAGTTAGGATTGATGAACACAAACTCTGATCTGCAATCCAAACAAACCAACAACAAAAAGGTTCTCAAAACTCGATATGATCAAACAAGACTCTGTGTGGGTAAAATGTGACAAGAGTGTTTCATCCAAACCTTAGTTTATCATCTATAAAATCCATCTTGGTTCCAATCACATGCATTAAGGCCTTTGGTTCAACAAGTATCTTCACTCCTTTCTCTTCCACCAGCTCATCAAATTTCCCTTTCTCATCTGTTACAAATACTCAGCATGAGAATAGTCTTGTAAACAATCGGCTCAACACACACAATCAACAGTAACAAAGCAAAAACATGCACCAAATTTGTGTACTCTAAACTTAGAAGCATCTAGAGACTCTAACGGAAACTTGATACATATAGCTTCTTCATCAGTGAGCTACGAAAACGGATTCATCTCTACTCTACACACATAAGCACTCCTCAAATCTCAAACCTATTTTAACCAAGATTAACAATTCCAAACCAGCTAAAATCAAAGATTGAAACTTGGTTAAACGTTGCTACCACCCAAAACAAGAGAAATGACAATTTGGCGGAAATAAACTGAAATCATCCAGAAAATGAAATTCAAGCGATGATCAAATTCTTAAATCTCAATCTGAGCCTCTTGCTATTGCTACCAAAGAGATGAATAAGATCAAAAACAAAGCAAGATTCAAATTGCAAAAATCAATGCCCAGAAATCAAAATTGAAACTTGATCACACGTGCTTCACACCCAAGATCAGAGAGAGAGAAAAAAACAACATTTCGCGTTGATAAAATTGAAGTTTTTCGAGAATACGAATAACCAAGTGGAGATTGTGTGATCGTTACCGGCGTAATTGAGGGTGTAAGATAAACCGTTGCAGCCACGAGCTTTGACGCCCAATCGGAGGTAAGGTTTCTGCCTCTGCTGCAAAAGATGATGAACCCTAGAAGCAGCTTCCTCCGTCAAGGTCAATACTTGCTTCCTCATCGCCGGTCCAGCCCTCGCCGCCGCAGCCGCCATAACTCGAGAAGCTTTCATCGAATCGAATTACAGATTCAAAGGCATGATTTAGTATAAGACTAATCTCAAAGCTAGAAAAATGGAAATGTCTCCTTCCGATTTTGCGCTAAGTTAGAAAATGGAGAACAAGTTTGCTTCTTTCGCTTCTGAAAAATGATTATCATTCGGTTCGATACGGTTTAATTTGGGTTTGAAAGTCGTTCGGTTATTGAAATTTCGACCAACACACAAAAACCAAACTTGAAGTTGTTTATCTTATTTGGGCTTGACCCATCAAACAATACCATGGACCCTGAAGTTATGGTTAAATTGGTGGGAAGATCGATTAACCAACGTTAATTATTATTTTTATCTATATAGATTATAAACAGCCAATTAATATTTGACAATTTTTAAAAGTCTTTAGGTTAAAACTGGAAGAAAGAAAAAAATCGAAAAATATCTTCAGTTGATACGTTAGTTAAATACTATATTTGTTTTCTTTTTAAAAAAACAAAATCTCTGAAGAAAAAAAAGAAGTCGACTAACGTCGATGTCGTTATTATCATCTAATCTCTTCATACGTAACTGTTCCAAGTTTATCATCTTGCTAACTGTTCCGTTGTTGATTTCTGCTTCCAACATTCCAATAATTCACTCCCTTTTTAAAAAAGTGACGTACGTTTCTGTTTTTGTTTTTCAAAAGATTAGTATATGATATTTTATAATATTGCCATTAATTTGGTCGAATTTGGTCTTGAACTAACCATGTAGATAATCTGTAAAAATAGAAGACTTCTCTCACATATGTATATATACGTAATTATCGATGATATATCCTCAATTCTTACTATCAAGAAAGATTCATTCCTTTTTTTCTTATGTATCCATAACCGACAAAAAGACATAACAACAAAATCAAAAAGCAACATAAGTCAATAACTCGTAACACAAATAATTAAAGAGTGATACTGGTGAGACTGAAGGGGAAAAAGTAGTAAGCACTAACATTAATTTGATACCACCTAATCAATGTTAATTACCAACAAAGTGAGTTAAATCATAATTTATACTTCATTTTTTATTTCTTTATTTATTTGGCACGGTCTTGGATAATATCGAATCCCATCTCCGTTGGATCAGTGGCTTGAAGCTCATAGTGAATCCCTTCCAACTTTCTCCTCAGCCCTGCTTTGGACGTTGCGTATAAGATCTTTGCCCTTACCCTCGATGCTTCCGGTGACCTAATTCCGATAATAGAAGTTCATAAATATAAACATTTGGATTGATAAATTCGGTTTGATTCGGTTATACGGGTTTGGGTTGGTCTTTTCCACCACTAACACATTCCATGGAGACTATTTCAAGAAGCACTTGCTTAACCATTACGCTTATATAAATTAAATACCTATTTTACCCTTGCATGTGACTAGAATTTGAGGGGCAAAAAAAGGTAAATATCTTCTAGTTTTGGAAGCAAGAAATGAAGACTAACCAGTAGATGAAGAAGATCTTGCTCTTGCGGCAGTTATCGACGGTGACAAAGTCAAAATCGAAGACAGCGTAGCGACAGTCATCCACCGGTAAAGAGGCAACGAGATCTTGGTAACTTTCTCCGGCGCCACCAACTTTATCGACGGTGACTATACGAGACTTCTCTTCGATCTTGAACACGATGTATCTGTGCACTTTCTTCCACTTCATCTCCATGAAAGAGCTCGTACACTCCTCCGTCACACGCATCCCCGTCGTCGCCTGTAAAATTGTATATCAAGATCATCGGATCATTTAAATTTCAAGATCAGATCAAGAATCTTAAACCTAGAGAAAAGAAATATGATTCTGTTACCATCTTGAAAGCCATCGCCATTGTTGCAAAAGCTGATTCTTCTTCTGTCTCTTTTTCCTCTCTTTTTTTTTTGGCGTGGAGAGCTTTTTTCCGTTAAAATGGTATGACTTTGAGGTCTTTATATAAAGTCATGCCTACACAAATGCGATCATTTTTATTACAAAATTAACCTTGGCATTGAAACGTCAACTTTTTCATTAGAGGCGAATAATATTTCTCGTGGGCGTAACTAAAGTTCTGCACTAACTATATGTACATATTTATGTTTTCTTAGCATTTTCATTTTCGTTCCACAAGATTTTTCGTTCATACTATGTGTGTATTAAGTTGTTGGTGAAAAACACAATTTGTTGTCCGAAAGTCGTTATTCAATCTTTCAAAACAAAGAGTAAGACCTCTTGGTTTCACCATTTAGATGGCATGTAAGAGAATGGAGAATAAACAAACAAAACTTAATCTAATACGAGCTACTGGAATTAAAACTATTTCAATCTTACCTTATGAGTTTTAAATACTTTTAATAATAGATTCATGCGATGCGAGACAGTATTATATCTTAGATATTTAGCTAGTTAACCTTCGTGTTGAATCGTTCTTCAAGGCTACACTTTCCAAAAACATTCTCGTCGGTAACCTCTTCACCACTATAATGGTAGGGTACTACAACGACTAGACACATTACGATACAGAAAGAAACAAAAAGAGTATAGGGATTAGAGAAATGGGTCAATGTTTATACGGAATTTAATAAATAATAATAATATTATACATACAAAAATAAATGTGACGCTAGGAATGGAGAGGGTGGTCCCAAAGAATAGTAGTGGATCTCCAAGTAACTCAACACCCACAATTTCATCGATCTCAGAAATTTCGTGTTACTCAAAACTCAAGTGACCCTTTACGTGTAAGCAAAGGATTGAGATGTAGATCTCATATTATTCCATTTTTGTTCTCTCAATTTTCAACTTCTGTTATTAGTATATTAATGGACGGTATGGACCATTCAAATTTCAAACAGATAATTCACGATGAGATGGGGAATCCAGAGCACTAATACTATAATAGTAATAGGTGAGAAAATACTAATGTATTCATGTGATGTTACAAAATAAAAATGTGACTGATATCATAAATATAGTTTATAGACAGCTAAATTCTAGAGTATACTTATAGGTAACTGGTTTTACTAGCAAACACAAGAAGTTTCTTTGCCAATTTGACCAAAAAAACTCTTTGTATTTATACAAATCTGTGCTGTTTCACTAAGTAATACATATCATATACTGTATGTATAATAAAATTAACGTGTTACTAAATAAAATATATTTGATATTTGATGATATAATGGTTCCATATAATAATAAAATATGATATATATCCCAAGGATACGTGTAAGGTGCTTAGGTGCACTAGACAATTCCAATATTTAATTTAATCCCGATACTAGTCGAGACTTGCAATGAAATTGTCCAATGCTTCAAATTGAGCAACTTCACAACACTGTCTTATGCATGTATCTGTGTTTCTATGTTTTTTTTTTGGTAATATTTTTTTGATAAAATGTTCTTTTTTCTTGAGTTTGCAAGTGTGCGTACTCGCTCACCTAATGTTCGGGGGAAATCAAAGTACCATACACGAGGACGTAAAAGTTCATTCCAAAATACCAAACACTAAAATCTAACGTTAGGTGAAAAATATGTGGCCACGTGAGGTCGACAAGCCTTTTCGCCTCAAATACATTTTTTTTGTCTTTAGACTTTTTGGTTTTAGGAAAATCAAATCAAACTGAAATCAAAATCTAATACAATCCCGCATAGCTATAGGCCTATAGTTATCTTTACTTGCTTTAAGTGTGAATTTTGGGCTAAATAAGTTTAGAGAAAATACATAGGTACTTGTTTTTTGTTTCTTTCTTTTTATTTGGATAGAAATTGTGTTTACAAAAAGAAATTGGGCTATTTATAGTTTTTTTTTATCGATTTGTTTATATGTATTTGCAGTATCTTACTATCTTATTTGATATAGCTTCCGAATGCTTCTGCATTTCTACACTTCCGAGATCAAATGCAAGATATATAAACGTTGGAAAGAAGAATCAAAACTTTCTCTCTCTCTATGTGAAATTAAATATGTAGATATTTAAGTGAATCGACGATAATCTCGTATATCATATTTGGTACGTGATCCCAAATCCACCCACAAGCCTAAATGTTACTACGGATCAGTCCCAGTTGTAAAGATGTTTGGGCCTAGGAAAAGATAATGGGCATATATTTTTGTTATCTTTGTTCACTTGTGGAGGATGAGACTACCAATTTCTGATGGGCTTTTTTCCCCCTTTGTTTTATATGCACACACATCTTCGTCATCGTAGAACCATTGCTTGATTTTAGTTTCAGATAAATTATTATAGAGTTCAACGCATATTCATTACCTGAAAAAGGAATTTACAAAAACATATCTCATAAGTCTACATATATGCACACATAAAATTGTTTTCTAGTAAGACTATGATCATAATCCAAAAATCTTTTTAACTATCAAGATTTTTCTTTGAGAGGTTGATTCGCAAGTTATGCAAGTCATTCGATAACATCTATACTAGTCTTTTCATAGATACATATGTAGCTATATATATGCTTTTGATTTACAAAACTTTTCGAGCTTTGAATCCGTCATCTTCTTATATCAGAAGGATGAGTCTCTTATAATGTGCAGCCGCAAAAGAATGGCCACCCACTGGCCCACCCACTCCTATGGCATGTACATCATGGTAGGTGAGATATTTCGTTAGGTAACTTTACATTTTTCAGAATATATTATGACTGTTCTTTGCTTTTTTTTAACAAAAAATAATTTGGCACATTTGACTGGTCAAGCATTAAGATCTAAGAGTATAATCGTGAGAATTTTTTTTTGTTTATTATATTTATAGAGTGCAACATGGTTATTAAAAAATTAGACGTTGCAATTTGCATAATTGTTAAATAGAAAAGCATTATCGCTGTTCTTATACAGCTTTTGTAAAGTAATTGGCTTTTAGTGACAACCAAAGGCCACTTGTAGATTATTTCGGATCAAACGAAAATTCGGTTCTTTTCACGTCGTAAACTTATTAATTGCCAATGTCTTTCTTTGTTTTATGATCAGGAGAAAAACAACTACATTTGTTAAGTGAAAACTTTATTTTCTTTATGAATGTCCATTCTTATATTGTAGGCTAATGGTGTGGAAATGGTAGAAGCGACTGCGTGAGTGTTCTCCTTAAGCTTCTACACTATTAAGTACAGTATTAACCAATGAAAGCCATCTATTGCTCCTAGGTTTTATGATTTTTTTCGGGTCTCGTCTGGAAAATAAATCACACAACATTGTAGCCTAAAGAAAAAAATAAAGATTATCACATTTGAGTAGCCTGGACAGTGGCCGTACCATAAGAGATAAAAGTTCAAAATCCAGTGTTTGCGTCTTATCCAAAGTGATAAGCAAATTGAGATAACTTCTCACGCAAATCAGATTAATCAATTTCTCAAAACATCTCTAATCTTCTTTAACAGAAAAAGATAGATAGACAGTGTCTTTATCAATCTATTTCTCAGTCCTTTTGTAAATATCAAATTGTAAAGGTCCAAAATTAAACAAAAGTGCATGGAAGAACGAGTTTCAAGTTCAGCCGCAAAACAATAAGATATTTTGTTATCTCAATTCATTTTTGAATATATTGGTTCCAAATAAAATTCGTGTAGGACAGGGCGAGATTGTTCTCTTCATTTTTTTCCAGCTCTTTTTTTTTGAACCTTTTTTCCAGCATGCATATGCTAATTTCTTAGGTTTATTTGATTGAGAAAAAAATAGTATTTTCAGTTTATGTTTTTGAATTTCGATAAAGGATCATGTTTAAAAAACATAAAATCGCGTTTTTTTTTATTTAGACTTTTTTATTCTATCAAGCATTATGCTTTGACTCGATGGAATTATTTTAATCATAGTGCCACATGGTTAAATTAACAAACATATCGCTGTTCTTATATATATTTTCTATAGAAATGGGCTTTTGGAGACTATCTAAAGCCACTTGTAGAATGCCTTCAAATCAAAGGGGACGACAACGATGGTTGTGTTTCATTCACAAAACAAATAATCTTATCAATGAGTGATTGAGTGATTTTGTATACTTATTAACATCCAATTTCTTCTTCTTTTTTTAAACATCTTCTCTTTTCTTTTTTGGTAGATTAGGAAGAGGAAACCAATTTGTACACTAGGTAAGTGATAAGCTCTTTTCCTACCAATCTTAATCTATATTGTAGCTAATCCTAGAATGGGAATGTTATTTGTGTTTATTAGAAATTGTTAATAGTGAGAGAAATAAAACTACAAAAGAATACAAGTATATAACTCTCTCTCTCAACCATCCATTTGAAAAAAAGCACGATCGATATCATTTTTTTTTTTTCTTTTTTCTTTTTTTTTTAAGCACGATCGATATCGATCGTTTGAGTAGCGGCGGAGGTTTTCAGGAACAGCCTGTATAATGGCCGTACCAGTGAGAAAAAGTTTCTAAATTCTCAAAGTTTTCTGTCTTTTTCGAATGTGATAAGCAAATTGTGATAACCTCTCCCGCAAATCAGATCAATGACTCAAAACATATCTCCATTATTGATGATATATAAAGAGTCGTCGCTATCAATCTATTTGTCTCCTGTCCCCACCTTTTCATAATCAATTGGCAAGTTGCACAACTTTCATTTACCATACATATATACGTATGTACTTCAGTTATTCACATCGTACATATATACGTATACATATTGTTGCATTTAGCAGTAGCCAATCATCACCATATTGCGGATTCATATATCAGAATCTTATTTTTCGGTCTTAGACCGAAAACACAACTTCATTTTAGTCCAAATGTATTATTTTTTACCTTTAAGAAAAAACCAGTCGCTCTTTTGCAAAATTATGTACGTTTACATAATATGACTATTATGTACGTTTACATAATATGACTCGTA